AGCCACTGAAATCAATACACTCGACCAAACTACTGGAAAAGTTATTGAGGTGAGCCGCACACACATTCCACTGAAGGCTTTGATGATTCCCTTGAAACGTGTGAAATTGAGAGGTGTAGTGTAAGTGAACCAGTGTTCAAACACAATCATTGTGCCCCTGCATTCACCACGAAAATGTGGTCTTAGGTCGTTCTTTAATATCATCACAAGTTAAGAAGACTTGCCAGTAACGGTTTCCGGCATTTTATAGTAAATTTCAGTAATCGTCTACATGTGGAATTCCCAACATTAAATTAAATCAGAATTGCCTAATTTCATACCGCGCGGGGCCCTGGCACTACCGGATTTTCCCGGACTTTTTAAAAAGTCCAGTTTCAAATGGCGGATAGTCGGAGTAAAAACTCGAACGAAAGCAATCTTTTTCGCAGAAATATTGATCAATATTCCCTCGGAGAATCTGTCTAAACTTAGGAAGGAAAGGATGCACTATTTCTGCCATGCCCTGAAGCAAAACTGAAGGAGCCGACACTCAGCAAGTGAACAGGTCGCTAGAACCAAACATGTCAAACATGATTATAAATTTTCTACAGCAAAGGATCCTGTGTTTAATTCTACCCGCATATGAAAAGTTGAGGATCATTGCAGGAAAGAACACAGATGTGATTGTGCACGTACCGATCGTAGCCTAAGCATGCTGGAGCAAAACTTAAAAGGGCAGTACACAAGGGCTTACCTGGATTATTCCCGTCGCGGAAAAAAGTAATGTCCGTGAAAGGTACTGAGTGTAGTGAACTTTGTGGCGTTATGTATGTTAAACCTAGTGCTGTTCACATGAAGGGAGATAAGGGACTAGTCTATACTCAGTGCATTCTAGCCAAAAGGTAGATGTACGTGACATTCTTGTTTGTGATTACGAGCTGATTGCCCAAATCACAGGAACTGCGGTGTCACCGGACGAGGAATGCCTCTCAAGTAAGACTGAAGTATACTTGCTTTTATCCATGTTCAGTGAGAATTGTTTCCGGTCTGATCTTTAGGATTTCTACTGAGACCGTACACAGCGACGGGGAGAAAATCTAATGTAAGCCTTGCCGACCTAATATACAATGTTACCCTTTCACTCGGGTCACTCCGGCGTGTTTCGCTATTTGGTAGTTTTTATTTAAGCGTTTGTAAAAACAGGTATACCCACTCCCACTCCCTTGTCCGAGTTCCCCAATATTCGGTCGGATCCAGCGCCGTAAAAAGAGCTAAACTAGACGGTTCTTTGTTCAAATTTTTTGTCGAACAATTCGGGAATCCTTCCAATACTTCCAAGTAGCGAAAGTCTCCGATTAGATCTGTCTTTTCTCGAAATTTTTAAGCGAGGTTCTTTATAACAGTAAAACAATTGTTCTTAGCTTTAGAATATTAACTTTCTGGAGTAATCTGGCTCTTGATATCGTTTCAACTATACGCAATGACCTTTGCTTTATACCTTCTATTTTGGAAGCCATTTTCAATCCGGAATTTAAAAAGTCCGGGAAAATCCGGTAGTGCCAGGCTCCCGCGCGGTATGAAATTAGGCAATGATTACATCTAAAACTTTGTCGACTGTTTGCTCTTTAACAGTACCTGGGCCGGGTTGTTCAATGCTGGGTTAAGATAACCCAGGCGAGGAGGGTTAGTGCGAAATTCGAACTCAGATGTGAAAGCTTCATTTTGCCAACAAGTTGATGATTGGACGCTCTTAAAAATAACTGAGAAAATTATCCAAAGAAATGTTTTTTAACAAAAGAAAAAGAAACCCCTGTTAAGCGCTGATCGGCCTTCGAACAACTGTGACCTGTAGCACATCTATTGCGCCAGTTAAACAAAAAGTTCTTTTTACTCGCCCGAAGCGCTAGCACTCTGGCCAGTGTCTCCTCAGTCAAATAACAAGCACTTAAGACAAACCATACCCTTCACAGCGGCACATACCTATATATAGCCCATATTTGGCAGGATCCCCCACCCCCCGGGACGATATCTCGCTGATCACTAGCCTTCAAAACCTTTTTATTATCATACACTGTTTAAATCGAGGTTTCGCTGTACGCAACCCTTTCAAAATATGCCATAATCATATAGTTAGCTATCGGAAGAACCATCCCCCCTTTCCCCTCAACTGCTACCTGTACGCCTAGCCTAACATATCGAACGCACTCTCCTAAGGGACAGACCATTAGAAAACTTATGGGGGGCGAAGTACAAAAAAAAAAAAAAAAATCGCGCAAGGGAACATTTAATGAAAAAAAATTCTTGCACGCCAATTAACCCTAAGAAATATTCATGCAAGGGCCTGAAAAAAATTCATACAATGAATTTGATAACGAAAAAAATTCCTGCGGCTCGAAAATTCCCTCGCCCCCTATAACTTTTCTGATGGTCCGTCCCCAAGCTCCGATTACTCCTAGTACATACTAGTTAGGAATCGCATTTCATTTTGTAACCTCGTGTGTCGTATCGTTCGGTTTGCCCCGGGGGTACTCAGGATTTCAAGTGACGGGGATGATCGAACGAATTTTTGGGTTTGAAATTTTCGATTCCGGGATTGTTTTGGGTACGAAAATTTGGCAAGTATTTTTTTGGTAACTTGATGATTTGAGTAGGGATTTTTGGGGTATTAAAAGAATCGGTACTGCCCTGGCTGCGTAGTTCTGCGAATAAAGTACAAAGAAACGTGTTTTGCTGTTGTTTAAATTTCCAATGTTTTTCTTTTGTGGTTAAGCATTACCCCTTTCTGGAACTTTTAAGGGCCATCAAATCGGCATGGGATTTTTGGGGTTAATTTTTGGTCCAGGGATTTTTTGGGTTTTGCTGGAAGCCCTAAGGATTTTTTTTTTGGGTCTTGACTTTTGGCTCCATTTGATCATCCCCGTCGCTTGAAATCCTTAGTACCCCCCCCTGGGCGGTTTGCTCGCTCCATAGTGTTGTATTTTCCCATCCCTTCCCTTCCTTGCCAGTTGTATTTGTCCCAAATGGAAAATATATGTAGCAGCCGATCGACGGCCCACATACGGACGATTGTTGTCTTTATTGCGTGATTAAAGGCACGGCTTTAACTGCACCACTCACTTCAACTGACGTTTAAATAAACATTTTGCCTTAAGATGGTTATATTTCTAAGCAGGTTTATTTATAACGAAAACTCGAGCTTATAAATTATTTTAAACAACTTCCTTTAATTAGGGTTTCTCTATAAACTCTTTCTTTTTAACGCCGAGGGGAATAAACAAATATTGTTAATAGGCAAGAGCTAAAATTCAGCTGGGTATTGTCATAACACTGAGCTTAAATTAAAAACTCTTTTAACTCTTTCTTTTTAACGCCGAGGGGAATAAACAAACATTGTTAATAGGCGAGAGCTAAAATTCAGCTGGGTATCGTCATATTAACACTGAGCTTAAATTAAAAACTCTTTTAACTCTTTCTTTTTAACGCCGAGGGGAATAAACAAATATTGTTAATAGGCGAGAGCTAAAATTCAGCTGGGTATTGTCATAACACTGAGCTTAAATTAAAAACTCTTTTAACTCTTCCTTTTTAACGACAGAAATGAATTAATCGAGCTAAAAAATAATACCAACTAAGCTTATAAGTTACTTCACATACGCCTTTATGCTCTACTTTTAATTTCTTCTTGCTCTTTAAAGTGTCAAAAAGACTTGCTCAGGGTGGAACACCTGTCTAATTTACAATTTACTTGAGAAAACTGGACATTCCGGTTGTTTGTGTCATTCTTCAGAGAAGATTTAAGACGAAGTAGTTTTTGTACTCTTGGCAGTCTGTTCAGCCGATTTGGATATAATTTGTAGCAGTTCGTTCTCAAACTACGTGAAATTTTATTTACCATTTTCACCGAGACCATAATTATGCACATCGTGTGCCCCCCCCGCCCCAATTTTTCATAACCATTGTTTCCAATTTTTCACCTCTTAATCACAGTCGTCCCAAGAGAAATCGAAGACAACGGTTGTGCCAAATTTTGGGGAGTAAACAATGTACGTTATAGTCTCGCTGAAAATTTTCAATAGTTTTATATCTATGCACAAGATTTCCACCTGGGTGGTTTGTGTAAATGGTAAGCATCTCTCAGCTTCCAAACATTGTTTACTAAGTATGCACTGACAACAGACGCGCTGATCAGACAGAACAACTCAGGTTTGACTGATGTTCTAATTAGTCTGGCTGCCAGAAGCGACACACACAATTGAAAAGAAATTCATAGAAAATTAACATTTAATATTGTATATAAATTGATGGTTTTTGAGGACACCTTTCGCTTTCGAAAAAGACTCAGTGTTTTACAGTGTTTGTCAGGTTCCTCAATTTCACGGAGTTCTCCAAAAGTCTCCTCACCAATCGGCGATGTTCTCTTTTTACTTTTGCTCGTTGCCCCTCATTCCATTGTTTTCTGTGATACCTAATGCGGCTTTTGCTCAAATGGAAGGTTAGTTTTCTTTTATTTATATAGAAGGACATAGACCGACATGACTTCTTGTGCTTTGTATGTAACATAAGACTAAAAATTCCGGTGACTGCGTTAGGAGAGAATGTATAAGAGCTCCTTAAATTTTACCCGATCTAAGTAAGGACTGTGGATGTAAACTATGTTTTCTTTTTTAATCAGTTTTGGTAGCACACAAAATTATGATCTGTCAATTTGTTAAACGCTGATGTACCTTGTAAATTTTCCTGGAGCCGAATTCTTAAGGAGAAAAAGCCATAATGGTCCCAGTTATGGCACGACATTAAAAGTCATAAATAAATAACAGCAGTGGACTACCAGAAAAATCTCTAATTTCATGAAGATGATAATTCCCATTTTTCTTATACTCTCCTGACCTAGGCTTTACTTCTCTAGGCTTTACTTTCAGCTAAGGTTTTTGAATTCCAGTTGACATAACGCGTTCAATTCTAAAAGCCATTCTTAAAGTCAGGAACTCCCTAAATTAAGAGATACCTTATATTCACGACCCATGCATTCTAAAAAGGTAAATTTCAAAACCATTCTTTCTTTGATTAATGATTCTTCAGAATTCACCACCATGTATCATCACAGCCTTCGTCAAGATGTTTTTATAAAGGAAGAGTACCATTATTTAAACGTTCCTAAAGTTGGAACATTCACAGTGTATGACAGCCTTGACTGCACCTTTGAATGCCTCGGCAATCCTTCCTGTTTGTCCTTCAACCTGGCAGCTTACAAAGGAGCAGATGGAAAGTTGTGGTGTGAGTTGTTATCCTCAGAAAAGTACAGCAATCCTGAGGAATATAAAAGGAACGAGAGTTTTCATCACTTTTCCATCAAGGTGGGGTAAAATCTTTGCATAGCGTTTATTAAAGTAAGATATTTTTTGATATCCCAGTCTATGCGATTTTTAATAACGTGTCACGAACACTAATCGATGTAAAAGTGACTACTGCACGATAACAAGTCGGGGTTATTCAGTCGAATGTCACTTTCTGCTTTCTTTCTTTCTACAATCAACACTTCACGCAAAACAAAATTACCTTTAGTTAATTGTAGGGCATTTGACATCAACCTCTTTTATAATTATTTCAGACTCCATGTATGTCATCACCTTGCCAGAACGGAGGTACCTGTGTAGCGAACTACAAGTATCACTCGTTTGACTGCCGTTGCAAAAAGGCTTTTATGGCGAATTTTGCGAAAAAGGTAATTGATATTCAGACCGGGGCCCCCGTTTAAGTTAGGACAACCAAACTTAGCGGCTTTACCTAAAATTTATATGGGAACATTTTAAAGGCGTAGTTGTAACGCCTTCCCAGTTGTTTTGTTTAACACGTGACCCGGTCACGCGCATCCGGGTTTTCAGTTTTTTGTAAGCTCGACTAGAGAGCGGAGTGTTTTTGGCAACGTCGCCCAACGCAGTTCTTTAGGCTTCGCACGAAGCATGTTGTAATAGCCATTACAGTCTTTGACGGTCCCTTCGGTCCGTTAACATCTTGTGAACCAGCATTAAACGGAACTAAGGATCTTGTTAGACGTTTTGGTCATTGTGGAGTGAACCTTTCAGAATTTCTGCAACGCATGTTGCCCTCGCGCCGCCTTCACCCAAAAGCGGTCGCTACAGTCAAAGACTCGTATTTACCTCAAGGAACTTTGAAGACTCCTGTTTAATCTGAGGAACTCCAACGAATTGTATTTACGCCGAGGAACTTTACCGTGGATTCAGCAAAATTCGATGATAAACACGAGGATACCGGACTCGGGCTAACCTTCGTGTCGAGACCAGAGGAATTTCTCATCGAGAAGAGCGCAAAAAAACACACCTCAAGCCCAGCTCACGAAGAAATCGTCGACTCAACAAAGACTGAGGTTAGCTCATCTGTTATTTTACCGGATAATGTGTCTTTACGTCCAAAAATAGAGGAAATTTCATCGATTACAAATGCCGACATTATTGTCGATTCGAGTAACACTAGGCCCAGGACCCTCACGGCCAAAGGGCGGGAATACAAATGTGGCTTGAAGAGAAGCGCTGCGATAGATAACGACCGTCAGTTTCGCTCTAAATTAGACACTTTTAAAGAGCAAATCCTCTCAGGCAAAGATCCTAAGGAAATTAAGGAAGATATTTCAGCTTTGATCAAGGAGTTAGACATTGTCTTACAAAGTTTTGACCAATGGATAGAGCTATCAGATGATTCGGATGAAACTCATCAGGCCACAAGTAAACAAGCTTATCTGCTTGACACATGGAAAGCAGTTCATGATACAGCCGTGAAAGAAATTGACAAATTACAAAATGATGCAGCCTCTATCACATCTCAAAGGTCCCACCGTTCACGAGTCTCGAAAGGGTCGGGATCAAGTAGAAGTTCTTGCAAGGAGACCCTGCTTGAATTTCGAGCTAAGAGAGCAGCCCTAGAAGAAACGTTGAAGTTTTCAGCAGTTATTGCCGAACAAAAACAGAAACTGGAACAGTTGAAAATACAAAAAGAACTTGGAGAAGTCACTGCACAAGAGCAAGTCTACCAAAAAGCAATGCAAGAAGAAAACTGTCTGCAGTCGCCTGCACTGCCGACAGAAACCTATGATCCAATTTCCACCTTTATTGCCAGCAATAATGCTGACGAATATACGTCTACACCGAGTGCGCCTGCTACAACGCTCTTTGACACTAGAACACCAGTGACTAAAGTGACAGTGACGTCATCGTCCACACCACTTGACGTTGTATCTGTATCTTTGAATCAAGGCCCTCAAGGATCAACCAATCGAATCTCACACTCTACCACTGCAACCACCTTCAGCTTAAGAGGACAAGCTCCTCCAGTTTACACATCGCCTGCGTGTACTATGTCCCAAATTGGACTCACACCTCCAAGAGGTTTTTGCGGAAATTTTCCAGCGTTTGTACCATCGTCATATACAGCCTACTCCCCTGCACCCCAAGATTATTCAGTGCAACTAACTGACACCCTAGCCAAGATCAGTCAGCTACAACGCCTCCCTCAAGCCACGCCAGATGTTTTTAAGGGTGATGAGACTGACAAGACTAAATTCTTCCTGTGGGAGAATTCTTTTGATAGTCTGATTGATTCAGCACCAGTGACAGCCCAACAGAAACTACACTTCTTGTACCAATATTTGGATGGCAAAGCCAAAAAGTGGTAGAGCAGCTTCAGTACTTAGTGCAGAACCCTGAAAGTGCGTATCAACAAGCCCGCACAATCCTCAAGGAACGTTTTGGCCACCCAGCAATAATCAGTACCAGTTTTCAGAAGAAATTAACAACCTGGCCAAAGGTGGGACCGAACGATGCAGCAGCCTTAGAAGAATTCAGTGACTTCCTTCAACAGGTGAAGATTGCAAGCGAACACATTTTGAGTCTCCAAGTCCTTAATTACCCGTCACAGATTCAAAGTCTTGTCGAAAAGCTGCCATCGTGGTTCAAGCCCAAATGGTCTGATAAAGTGCTGAAACTTCAGAAGAAAGAAGGCAAGGACACATTCCCTTCATTTGCAGACTTCGCTCAAGAAGTGCGTTACCACGCTGAGCGTGTCAACATACCTCAAATTGTTCAAGCTTCAGGTTCAAGTGGTACACCACAGACAGACCGTTTCAAACCTTTGAACCGCCAACCCCGCCTGCGTCCTCCAGCTGTTAATCTGACCTCCACTTCACCCCCAGTAACAATGGCGAGACAAATGCTAATCACGAAGAACCAATAGAAATCTCCAATGTGCTTTCAACCCATGCTCAGCAACCGGACACTACCAAAGCTACTGCGGCTAACACGTATTGCTTCTATCACAAGATGAAGTCTCATAGCATGAACGATTGCGAACAGTTTCAGAAATTAGGATACGAAGAACGCAGAGATTTCCTAATGAAAAACAAAGTCTGTCTCAAGTGTGTTAATTCCAACAAACATGTTGCCAGAGACTGCGGACAAGACAGGCTAGATTGCAAGATATGTCGACAGAAACATGCCACTGTACTGCATGACCCATCCAGGCACAAAGTGATTAATGCCAGTGAAGCGAGGTCTGCTTGCTCACGAGTCTGCAATCAAGGGCATTCTGCTCGTTCATGCGCTAGAATAGTTCTCGTCGAAGTCTTCCATCAAGACAACCCTTCAGCAAGGATGCTGACCTATGCAGTTCTGGATGACCAGTCAACAGATGTCTTCATCACAGACACTCTTCTCGACCAGTTGCAGGTCAAAGGCCAGGAAGTTAACCTCAATATCAGTACGATTGCGGGCGTGAACACTGTGCGTACTCAGAAAGTAAACGGATTGCACATCAAGGACACAGACAGTCGACACAATTCTATTAGGATTCCGTTTGCATACTCACAAGAGAAAATTCCAGCTAGCCATCAGGACATCGCCACGCCTAACATTGCCCAACTCTGGCCGCACCTTAAGGAGATCGCCCACCACATCCACTATCATCCCGGAGTAGAGATAGGATTGTTAATCGGTCGTAACATCCCATCTGCCTTTCAGCCATTACACGTTATATACGGCAAAGACAATGAGCCGTGGGCTGAAGAGTACAAGTTCGGCTGGACGATCATCGGTCCAGTTTGTCTAGACAACCAACAAGACAGTACGGCTTGTGCAACAGTTAACCGCATCACCGTACGACGAGAAGATTCTCACAACCTCTTCAATGTTCCAACGAGCAACAGTTCCAGAGAAGAGGCCGTAGCCTCTTTCGCTTCCAAACATCAATCTAAGGATGTCACTACGCCCCAGCAGATAAGAGAAATGATGCAATTGGATTACAGTGAACTACATCATAGCCGAACCATCCGAGGCACTGAGAACACCGAGTCTGTCGAGGACAGACGTTTCAATGATCTTCTTACCACAAGCATCCATACAAATGAACTGGGCAATTGGGAAATGCCGCTACCACTGAGGACAGGCAAGTTGAGTCTGCCGAACAACCGAGAACAATGCCTAAACAGGCTACTAGGCATAAAAAGAAAACTTCTCAAGAATGGCAAGGTTTTGAAGCAATATACTGAGTTCATGCAGAAAATGTTTAACAAGAACCACGCCAGTCTCGTCCCATCAGATCAACTCAAGACTGCCACAGGAAAGGTGTGGTACTTGCCTCATTTTGACATTTATCACCCCAAGAAACCTGACCAAATTAGAATCGTTTTCGACTGCAGTGCCATCTTCCACAACGAGTCTCTCAACAAACATCTGCTACAGGGCCCTGACATGATGAATGCCCTCGTTGGTGTGCTCTCGCGGTTTCGAAAGGAAGAGACAGCAGTGACATGCGACATTGAACAGATGTTTCATAGTTTTCACGTCAGCCCGGAACACAGAGACTTTCTACGATTTCTGTGGTTCAAGGATAACAACTTAGAGAGTCAAATCGTAGAGTACAGCATGAACGTCCACCTTTTCGGGGCAGTCTCCTCCCCGGAGTTGCTAATTTCGGTCTCAGAATGACAGCAGAAGCCGGCAGAGAACAGTTTGGCAATGAGGCCGCAGACTTCTTGAAGAACGACTTCTACGTAGATGACGGGTTGAAATCTTTCGCCACACCAGCTAAAGCAATCAATGTCATCAAGAATACCCAAGCCATGTGCGCAGCAGTCAACCTACGCCTGCACAAGTTTGCCAGCAACAGTGAGACTGTGCTGGAAGCCTTACCTGCTGAAGATCGTTCCAAGGACTTGAAGGACCTCGATCTACGTCACGATGTCTTACCTGTCCAACGATCCTTAGGTACCTATTGGTGCATCCAGTCTGATACCATTGGTTTCGAATTGAGCTCAAGGACAAGCCTCTCACCCGTCGCGGAATTCTATCAACTGTGAGTTCAGTTTATGATCCGCTTGGTGTCATTGCACCTGTCATCTTAGTCGGAAAACAGTTGCTCCAAGAACTGTGCCGCGAAGGCATCGACTGGGACGACCCAGTTCCTGCCCACATCCGTTCACAATGGGAAAAATGGAGATCCGAACTACCTCTTGTGGAGACGATCAAGATAGCAAGGTGTCTCAAGCCACCTGATTTCGGCGAACCAGTTGCCGTGGAGTTACACAGCTTCTCCGATGCCAGCAACACAGGCCTCGGCCAGGTAACCTACCTACGTCTTGTAAACAGTTCAGGCCAAGTACATGTCAGCTTCCTGATGGGCAAAGCTAGGGTCGCGCCACTAAAGCCAATGTCAATTCCACGCCTTGAACTGACCGCCGCCGTGGTTGCTACTAACGTAGCCTCCATGCTCAGCCAAGAGCTTAACTACAGTAACCCAGTGAAATTGTTTTACACGGACTCTTCCGTCGTTCTAGGGTACATTCGAAATGACGCGAGACGCTTCCATACGTACGTCGGAAATCGTGTTCAACACATCCGCGACAGATCAAACCCACAGCAGTGGCATTACGTTAGCAGTCCGAACAACCCAGCTGATATCGCGTCAAGAGGTGCCACCACCAAAGAGCTTTCTGAACACGAACTATGGTTCAATGGCCCTGAATTCCTATGGGAAAGCGAAGTACCGGTGATCAGCCTAGACCAAGTTGCGGATCTACAACACGAAGACGTTGAAGTGAAGAAACCTAAGTCCACCGTCTGCATTTCAAGCCATGAAGAAACCAAAAGCGAGGAGAAGGAGAGCTCTCACAGTATTCTAGAACCAGAACGCTTTCGCCATTCATCTTCCCTCATTCGCCTAAAGAGGAGCATTGTGCGCATCCAGAGAATGATAGAACAGAGACGCCCTAACAGGCAGTTCAACACAAGGCCCAACACCGGCCCCCTTCAGTCGAAGAATTACGCTTAGCAGAAGAAGTAATTCTCAAGTCAGTTCAGTTCGAGCACTTCGGCAAGGAGATCCAAATCCTTCAAAATGCCAACCACCAAGATGGTATGTTCCAGGATCGCCACAGTGCTCATACCAGGAACGAAACGATCAAGAAGACAAGTTCTCTCTACAAACTGGACCCCTTCTTAGACAGCAAGGGAATCCTCAGAATTGGCGGACGACTCCTAAAAGCCGAATTAGATTATGGCATAAAACATCCGATCATATGTCCAAAGAAGAGTCACGTGACGAATCTCCTCATCCGACACTTTCACAGCAAAGAGCACCACCCAGGTTATGGGATGACCCACAACTCCATCAGGCAAGCAGGTTATTGGATTGTGAACGGTCGTTCTGTTGTCTCCCATCTCCTGTCAAGCTGTGCCATTTGCCACAAATTGCGCGGACGAGCACAAGTCCAAAAGATGGCAAATCTTCCTGAAGAACGTGTGACACAAGCACCGCCCTTTACCTACACGGGTATGGACGTTTTCGGCCCATGGTATATTAAGGAAGGCCGAAAGGAATTGAAACGTTGGGGCATCGTCTTCACGTGCCTCTCATCCCGGGCGATACACCTTGAAACCTTGAACACTATGGAAACAAGTTCATTCATTAACGCGCTCAGAAGATTCATCAACAGAAGAGGCAAAGTGCGCCAACTAAGATCAGATCAAGGAAGCAACTTCATCGGAGGAAGAAACGAGCTCAATGCAGAGGTGAACACTGACACAGTGAAGAACTTCCTATTAACACAAGAATGCGACTTCATCGAGTTCAAGATGAATTTCCCCAGCTCCTCACACATGGGAGGTGTGTGGGAACGCATGATACGAACAGTACGCTCCTCTCTATCTGGCCTCCTCGAAGATCAGTCAACGCAGCTAGACGACGAAGGGTTACGTACTCTCTTCACTGAAGCCGAAAACCTCGTGAACAGCCGCCCGCTGACCACCGACAGCTTGTCAGACCCACAAGCACCTGAGCCGATCACACCAAATCACTTGCTCACTCTGAAGACGAAGGCAGTACTACCTCCGCCTGGCAACTTCTCTCGACCAGATCTGTACACCAGAAAGAGATGGCGCAGAGTTCAATTCTTGGCTGACCAATTCTGGCTCCGATGGCAAAGAGAATATTGTCTACAGCAGCAAAAAGCGTCAGAAGTGGAACAAGACCGTCCCTAACGTCCAAGTTGATGATATTGTTCTGATTTGCGAAGATTCTTCCCCAAGAAATGAATGGCCTCTCGCCAGAGTCACCCAAGTCTATCCCAGTGATGACGGACTCGTTCGCAAAGTCTCCCTCTTCTATACTGAATCCGGAAATAAGAAGCTTCTGGATAGACCCGTACACAAGTTAATCCTTGTTCATCGTCCGAAGGAAGAGACGACTGATGCAAGTTACAGAAGGAAACTTCGATAGACCGGAGTACGACCCCGTCGGGGAGCCAGCAGAAAGAATTACCCTCTTGAACACTAAGAACACTAAGTTTATTTTGACATTTATTTTATTGTTAAGTCATACATTTCACAATGTATGGGGGAGCCATGTAACGCCTTCCCAGTTGTTTTGTTTAACACGTGACCCGGTCACGCGCATCCGGGTTTTCAGTTTTTTGTAAGCTCGACTAGAGAGCGGAGTGTTTTTGGCAACGTCGCCCAACGCAGTTCTTTAGGCTTCGCACGAAGCATGTTGTAATAGCCATTACAGTCTTTGACGGTCCCTTCGGTCCGTTAACATCTTGTGAACCAGCATTAAACGGAACTAAGGATCTTGTTAGACGTTTTGGTCATTGTGGAGTGAACCTTTCAGAATTTCTGCAACGCATGTTGCCCTCGCGCCGCCTTCACCCAAAAGCGGTCGCTACAGTAGTGTCCTGTACGTCAACGTTGATGTTACCATAGCAACCGAGTTTTGACAGCCATGTTTTTCAACATTTGCATTTTCTCTAAAAAATAGGTTTAATTTATTCCTTTTTTCTACTGATTGAATTATTACGTTATCTACTTTTTTTCAGTTGCCAAGTCCTCATGCCAAGACGTTTATAATCAGCTCAAAGAAAAGTGGGTAAACCTATGCATAGTAATTTAATTAATGAGGATAGATCAGTTAAAGTCCGGAGGATCCTTCGGAGTGCGTCAGTACTGTGTTTATGAGCCACAAAAACAGCCAAAAAATCAGTCGTCGAACCTCAATAACGGGGTATTCAACAAATTTTTACGGGGAAGCCCTGCCCCGAGGTCCATGTCCTTACCTTTTCACATACCATTTTTGACAGAAAAGGTTTCGTATCCCATTCCATCCGTTTTGGCGGTTGAGGGGTGGAGTGGCTTGTTACAGGCATTTTAAAATGATCTCAGACCATACAAGGGTCAATGGCAAGAAAGAGTGCCTTATCAAAATCAAACTTGCACGCTATTTTGCACTTTCTTTTGTTTTTTTGGTAATAAAATCGTATTAACCCAAACAAAAAAACAGGGTTCATTGTATGCAGTTAGTACATGATTGTGACCACGAAATAGACAGTGGACAGTAAGGTAGCCAGTGGTTACCAGTGTCCATAAAGCGAAGTTGACGGCATGAGATTTTCTGACTTGGGAACACAGAAAAGTGTCCGTTTTCCGTATTAACCGTTGTCCTTATTAAACGGGTAGGAGAAAATACGTGAGCGTCAATAAACATGCAAAACTACTGAATATCTGTGTAACATGTTCTGAGTAGTTGTCAAGAAAAACCAATCCAAGTCTTATAGGTAGCTCACGGGCAAAATAGGGATCCTTTGACCTCAGATAAGAAAAACATCATGCGCACCATTTTCGCGGTTTTTAGGTCGCCCCTTTCCCCTTCCTTCTGAACATCTGCTACGCTGTTTAGCCATCTTCGATGTCCGAATTTAATTCCTATAGAACACTTTATTCAAATACACTTTATTAAAGTTAGTTGAAGAGCAGAACAGCTTGGTATCATAAGGCAAAAATAAATATCAACCTGTGCCGGAGGTGAAATTATATCAGTCCAAAGTACATTAATCGTGTAGTAACTCCCAGTAACATGATGGGGAACCTGAGAAATTTAGATTTAACTGAGACTGTTTTGAATTCCATTGATTCATTTATTTTTATAAGAAAAAGCGAACCTTTTTTTTTACAACCAGTTAAGGTACATTCCATTTTTTCTCTCCGACAGTTAGGAGCTGGAAAAACTAAAATGAGATTTCATTTTGTACAGGTTGAACGTGGCTCAGTTGGTCACTCTCCTCCTTGACTCCAAACTAGTTTCAGTTCTCTGTCACTTTGGAAATTTTGGATGCGGAGATGGAGGATGGACACCGGTCATGAAAATGGACGGCAACAACGTAAGACATTTGTGTACGTTTTCCCTTAGTTTGGCGACTAGAGTGAAAAAAAATGTGCCTCTGTCAGCGGTAACTTTCAGTTATCCTAGCCTGCGAATACAGCCGTTTCTCCTTGCTCCTCGTCGCTAGGGACGTTTCATCAGGAGGAACGTCTGCACCTCAGCGACAGAAATTCCATACTAATGACGTAAAATTGTAACATTTTCTGGGGAAGCATAACCCCAGTCCTCCAAGTTTGAAGTGCCTTCGGTGCTCCAACTTTTCTTCTCGTGCGTATACATGCTAAGTCCTTGGATCTGAAAGATTTAAGTATTAAGAACACCTTTAAGCTTCTGGAATATCTCGGTCAGTAGCAGAGGTCATCATCCGCTTTTCCTGTCAGACGATGTGAAGGTTTTCATATCAAAACACAGAAGCCTCTGGTCTCTGTACTTGCGAACAGGCGAGAATTAGAGATAATTATATTCAATTCGGCATTTTTCAATCGCATCAATGATTAAAGAGCGCAGTATTTGTTTACTTTTTATTCTATCGGTGACCATTAACGTCATTTCGCCTGCTGTGACTAATTTCATTTTATAAATCTGGAGAAACAAGGACGTTGTAGATATTCCTTTCACTGTAATTGTTCTTTAATTGCAAATTCCTTTTTTTTTTCTTTTCCGGAAAGGATGCTGTCTTTAGAAGAATAAAGAAACCTGTGAACTTTTCTTTTTAAAGGACAATTTTTCTATTTCTTCCTCCTTTCTACCACAGCAAACTTTTCACTACAACTCCCCTCTCTGGAGCAACAAAGAAACCTTCAACCTTGACGGAGGGAAGACTGGGTTTGACACACAGGAGACCAAACTTCCCTCCTACTGGAACACATCCTTCTCCAAGATCTGCCTCGGTATGAAGATCGGCCAGCAGTTCAAATTTATTGTCATCAACAAGCAGGCGAACTCCTTGTACTCTCTGATCGCTGATGGGCAATACCGGAGCACCTCACTGGGTCGTGACAAGTGGAAGTCGCTGATTGGTTCTGAGGCCTCCTTGCAGAAAAACTGTAACAAGGAAGGGTTCAATGCTGTTAGTAGTCATCCTGACAACTCTAAAGCAAGAATCGGTATCATTGGTGACAATAGAGGAGATTGCAGGGACGGTGACTCTAGAATTGGATTTGGCAGTGGAGGAACTCCTGATAAGAGCAACTCATGTGGAAACGAGGCGGCTACATTTGCTCCAGATAATGGCGAAAAGCATATTAAGACAATGGGATATATTTTGGTGCTGTAAGAAGAAACTTATCTGGGTTTATTTACCTTGGTGCCAAACGAAAGCTGGCTTAATTAAATTCTAGATCCTGTTCGTTTATGTGGATAAAACAATAGACTATTTCTAGATTGAATTACACTTAACCATAATACATTAGAAATGAAACACACACTGAGAAACTAAGATTAAAATCATTGGCTAAGTCAGCTTCCATTGCTCCCTATAGTTTGCTGCCCGCAGATAATCTTTGAAGACTGATGTTTGATGTGTACGGCGACGGCAACGAGAACAGCAAAAAAAGCAATCTGTTTAGATTGGCAAAGTAACAACTTTGCACGTGCATCAGGCTCTTTTGTACCTCTTTTTTTCCTGAACTTTCATACAGTCCTTGAGTCAACTCCAAAAACAATTGCCATCATTTGACATGGAATACGCGAGATAAGGTTTGAGGCAGAGCAAATTCACTTTTTCAGTGACGTTTTCGTAGCCGTCGCCTTCGTTGTTGCTTAATGTCCCTATTAGAGACCTTTAGATTCTAAGACGAGTACGACTACGAGTACGAGATTTTCTCAACACTAAGTAGTGCACGCGCGTGAACCAGCGTCATTTTGGCGGGAAAAAGCGGTAGCCGTCGTCATTCTACTACGAGTTTTAGCGCGAATGTCGTGGTGGCGAAAACAAGTTATCAAATATTAGAAGTTTTATCATTTTGCGATGGGGAAAGCGCGTAACCTCCTTCACTAAAGGTAACAGTGCTAACTTTTCTAGTGAAAAACGGTAAAATGAAGCTTTTCGGGAAGTCTATATTTTGAGAATACGCGAAAAAACTTCAAGTCAAATCTCGTACTCGTAGTCGTTGTCGTCCTCGAATCTAAAGGTCTCTATTGTCAACAACGAGACTACGATCACCCGGCAGACGATCATGCTCAGTCCACTTTTAAAATCCATTTTGAAATGACTCCTGGGTTCAAACGGAGGCTTGATTGCCAGTCGCTGTTTGCGAATGAGCCAAATCTCATCCTCTGAACACATATTAATTAAAACTGTATAGCTTTATTTGGTCTTCATCACTGCACGGGATTCTCCTTTTTAATGTTTTTCTGTCAGTAATATAATGACTTAAAAAATATAGATATAATGGTTAAGTGAAAGCATCATGTCTTAAAAGCGACACTTATTAGTTTGTATTATTCTCTTATATTGTAAGGAGAGATTTTCCATGAATTCTTTATTTGCCTCGAATTTCATATATAGCTTTAAAATATTCACTTTGACGTTGTTTTTAGTAATTTATACTGCTGCATTTGCATAAAGAGGTTTTAGCTCCGCAAAAAGGCTCGTACCATTTTATTGTCCTTTGTTTCATTTGCTTTGTGTTCGCAAGGTAATAATTCTAGAAAAAGCCAACTGTGTTTAAGCTGTCAAAACTATTTGCCACTGACTCTTTTCAACCGGATACGTTTGACTTCAATTGTTGACTTTTAGAAAAAATCATTCGTTTTCAGAATAATGTCTACTAACTTAAGTTTATCTTTGAATTTAAGCTTTCTTTTTATTCTGCACGACGGCTTCGTTCACATTTGCACCTTTTTACAGATGTACCTTGTTTTAATTGGATAATACTTATATGTATTTGCAAATTTAACGTTCTTTAGTCTGTTGGCTAAATAGACGCAAAACATGATGAGTTTGGAATATGAAAGGTTTTGCTGACTTGCAAATTCGAAACATATTTGTTTTGCTTTAAAACTAGAGAACTATTAATTAGTCCGCGTTTCTTCCTATTTGAACAGACGCTAGCTTGTCTTGCAATTTCATTCATATTTTGTAAAATACACTGTGCATAAACGCTGTGTTGCTGACCTTACAGCAAACGTAGCTAGCTTTTGTTCCAGTACTTTTACTTTTTAAAAATAGCAACAATAATAAGCTTAGACTGTTCACAGTCCCCTATTTTTCCGTGAGATCGTTTAGATATTCCGCGCCTTACCGTCACGGGTATCGTGATTTTCAAATGTACCGAGGGGGCGAACGTCGGGGATTATAGCTAGAGGGGGCGAGAAAAATAGAGGGACTGTAATAACATCACTGCAACTCGCGTTCACGGAGCGCGTTGTACCAGCAACGCAGGCATTTGATTGGTCATTACACAATAGATGTTAATTTGCGTTGACAACGGGTTTAGTTTAAGTTGCCGATATTGACAAGTCGACTTTTCCATAAAACGTACGCTTTCATATCATAAGGCACATCTCGCGCAAACACACGAAGGATTTTTGGTATTTTGATTAATTAGGAAAAAGTTTTCTTGTGCATGTTTGCAGATTTTATTTCGAGGAATGGCCCAGAAACATTATAAAATCACTGTGTCGAAAGGAGATATTTGTAACACGCGTAATCGATGCTAAACGTGTCTGGCATGTTTTTCATGACCAGCGGAGTTTCTTAATTAATGAATGGTAAAAGGTGTGAAATTCCTGTCACGCCTCCTGAACGCGAGCTGCGGTGATGTTATTACAGTCCCTCTATTTTTCTCGCTTCCTCCCAAACCGCCCCCGTCCCCTAAGTGGTTTTGAAACTCATGCAATATGGCAGCCCGTAACGCAAAGTGCTCGATCTCGATGATCTTACGGAAAAATAGAGGACTGTGAACAGTCTATAATAAGCTATGACTATCTCTTTTATTTGATTTTCATTTACTTCTATAGTAAATGATTTCTGTTTACATATCTATTGTACTCTCTTGTTTTCAATGGTTATTCAAATCATATATAAGTAAGTTGCTTTGAACAGATTTTTCGATTACGTTGCCCATTAGATCGAGTATTTCAGAGCTGATTACATTGCTCATTACATCGCGGATTTCAGAGCTGATTACATCGCGGATTACATTTTCTGAGCTAAGTTACGCTACGTGTACAAGAATAAACGCTGTTGGAACCAAAGTTCAGTTTGCCTTTGCTGTACCAGTTACTGGTTTGATACCTCAAGAGAAGTGACGGCCCTTTCCCGCCAGCGAGTTGCAATTGAGTCTAGTTTCCCCCCCTTAATCGAGAGTTAAAGCGCCTAGTTCCCGTTGAGTGTTCAAATCGTTCAAAAGTGGAAAAACTTTCCGTCACAATATATCCTTACCATACTTATGCTTGTACACTATGAGGAAATAATTATAAATAAATGCTCCTCTGTCTCAAGTCGTAAAATTACAAAACAAAGCGGTTCGTAACATAAATGATGTTCCTTTTAATTAATGGAATCAATAACTCCACACTACGTATCCCTTAGCCTTTTGAAATTTCCTGATACTGTTAAACTGAACACATGTATGCTTTTTTTGATTATTTCTACCGTGAAAAGTTCTCTAATATACCTGTTTCACTAGTATCTGAGCTACATAATCACAATTATACCCGCAGTGCATTATCTAATCAAATAGTTATATCCCCATTACGAACTCATCTCAGAAGATTCTCCCCCTGCGTTATTGGAAGATTCTTGTGGAATAGCATTCCGCAATTAATGTATTATTTTTGCCCCCGAATACAGCATTCTCTCTTCCCTCCTCACCGCATTGACAGGCAAATTGTACCTCAGCAACTGTGAATAAAACCGTTGAATTAGGAGCATTGTTTATTGTCAATGATTCCTTTTCTTGACGCAGGAACTAGAAGGGAGTTTCTCTGATTCACCTACACAAGTAACCACCCACCCCTCCCTTACTCGGCAAGCTTTTATTTGTTACGCCGGCTGGTACCTAAAAAAACACATAACTCGCCGGCAGATGACTTAAACCATGATGCGTAGAACTGATATTGTAAAAAAGGACATTTCTTGATTCAACCTACTTGAAAGAAAGTGCTCAAAGATTTTTTTCAACTGAACTACATATAACTAGAAGAATCTCTGGCAAAAAAAATCGATTTGAACACAGCGTTATTTTCAGCCACCCATCCCATTGTTTTAGGCGGTGAGGCAATTAAAGTTGGGTTCTTGCCACAGACCGATTCCAAAGCAGGTGATTCCTTTTACTAATGCGTTAATACTGAGTTTGCTAACAGTCAGATGGACACAATAACCACGTATAAGCAAATCCCGATAAGAATTTGGTCTTGCGTTTCATTCAATTCCGAAGAGTTTTCAATTGCATCGAAGTCCCAAAAACTTTAAATAGTTTTAATATAGACAGTTGATTCTCCTTATTTTGCAAGATGTCATAGATAGGTTCCCTTTTTATTGATGCAACAGCCATACTTAAATAAATATTTAAGATTGTATAAACTAGACATAACTTAACAGTGCTAATGATCGAAAAAACCCACGTAGTCTCTAAAGCCTTACTGAACAGTATATTCTTCTTATTTGGCAAGTCGTCAAAAAGCTACTTTCGTTAAAGACTAATAATTAACGCATAATTTAAATTTTAACTGTATTGGTCGAAAAACCCATTAAGCACTCCCTAGCATTGAAATAACATATTCAAGAACTTTTAAGTAAAGCTAAAGGGAACCTATCATTTTTTCGCTTTTCAAAAGGAATATAGAGGATTCGATGTAAATTCTTTTTGAAAGAAAAGCAATGGTTGTAGTTAGATTTTTGGACGCACAAAAAACGATTTTGCGATGGCTGCTGATTGGCACTTTTATTCAGACCGGTGACGTCATTGATGGTAGAATAACGCATTTACGAAAAGACTAAACATAAAGTCTTTTCTGAAAATATAACTTTCCTTCCACCCCAAATTACCCTAAAAAAAATTTGCTGAGTCAGTCTCAGTTTTATGCTTTTTATGTTGTATGTCAACAGTTAACTAAAGAAAAATAAACTTATAAGTTGACGCTCGAGACATTTTAATTAATATCACCTTATTAAAGAAGAAGTAGTTTGATATAAAGCCATATTGAATTGCAGTGCAGAAAACTGTAAAGATATTTTCTAACGCCAAAGAGTCTTCGAGCTAAAAAAAATCATCAATTTTGATAACGTCTCCTTTAAGGGGGCAATACCCAGGCGACGTTTTTAATGTCTTGTTTTTATAAGAATGTGTTATTTTTTTCCAGAGCCTTTATCGTAATAACCAATACGTTGGCCGTATAAATTGCATTGGTTGAGGTTTCAAGACTTGTCATCAATTGGCCCTCCCAGACTGCAGCGAGGTACCAGACAAAGAAAGTCATAGATAATAAACATTTAATATTGCTTAGAAAACTGAAGGTTTTTAGGATGGCTATTACTTCACAGGACACTGCTTTTGGCAGTGTTTATCAAGTTCATCCACTAACCAATACGTTGGCGTATAGGCGAATCTTTGCTGACGTCATTGTTTACATTTTTCCTCATTAGCATACGACTTAACTCATAGAAGCCGTGGCCGTATATATGAATTAAATGCAAAAGTCGAAAGAGCTGATAAAGTTGGGCAATTTGTGCAATTTTCAGCTCTTTGCGAGCAATATTGAAGGAAATATCAGTCATCAAAAACTGCGAAATTGCTGTGTGGCAAAAAAGTTAATTAGCCATACATTCTCTGTAAAATTTCGAGTTTTTAGAAGAGAATTTCTCCGAAACCATTCAGTGAATTGGGCTCAAATTTTCAGAGATAACTGAAACTGTTATGCCCTTTCAATATTCAGAGTTTTTATTTTATTAGCGTCATCAGACAGTGATAAGCATATTTTAATGAGGCAAAAAGTGTAAACAAAGATTCGCCCATACAGTGCATTGCGTGAGGTTTCAAGACTTGTCATTAATTGGTCCTGCCAGAATACTAAAGCGACATAACAGACAAACAAAGTCATGAATAACCACATTTCATATTGTACAAAAAAAACTGGTGGTTTTTAGAACGGCTATCACTTTACAAAACACTGTTTTTGGCACTGTTTTTAGGACTTTTGATTTTCAGCTAATGCACCAATTATTCGGTGCCATCTTGGTCTGTTCGCTGCCCTTGAAGTTGCTGAGTTTACAGAAGTTAGAGTAAAGAGATATTCTTTGGTATTTTACGTATTAAGCTAAATTTTTCATTTCCCCTTTTTCATTTCCCTATGCACCTTTATGAAAAAAAGCTTGTTATTTCTCCTGCAGCAAAGCCAGAGGTGGAAGAAAATATCGCCGTGTCTGTTTCTGTTTTTTATGGCTTTTCATTGGTCAAAAATCTGAGAGACGCAAATAAATTATCGATATACAGAAGCAGCTGCTTGTTGTTTGCCGCCATAACGGCGTTAACACCATAGTTGGTACAACAAAGTGGAGTGAAGATTTCTGCCACAGTAGAAAGAAAAGACATTTTATTCGAACGTTCAAAGTGCTTTAGTCGTTATGTTTTTTGTTCTTATCGTCTTGTCGACTTCGATGACGCCATTCTCTGTAATTCAAGGGCAATTCTGCAGTGGAGGTAAGCCTTGTTTGTGCGGTGTACTTGCTAAACAGGGAACATCTTATATTCGCGAAAACCGTTTTTATCTAGGGATAAAAGAAAAGGATAAAACATGAAATTAATGGAAAACAATTTAATGATGATTTACATTAATTTCGTCTGTTCGCAAGGTTCATTAATTATATTGTCTTAAATAGACCCTGCCACGGTTCAGTTTTTTTTCAAGTTTTAGTAAAGACCAGTTAGCGAATATCCATTGATACTGCTGGAAATAGAGCCTTAACATTAGTAACTTGTTTACCAGGTTTAAATGTGATACGTTAAAAGAGAGCGAGGATATTTCTGTTCAATGTCGCTAAATTTTACAAACGAACTTGCCCCCATCATACATTAACGTCTGCAAAATTCGGCGACTATGCAGAGCTATGTCTTCGTTAGTTTTCGATAAGTTACGTTCAAACTAGGCAACTTTGTTGATTTTAAGGCGCGTTCTTTCTAGTCGAACAAAGAAAGGGTGATAACAAACAATAAAGTTATTCATCATTCAACTTCACTCAGTAGAGTACAAATAGCGCTACGTTGTCCATTTTAGTCATTGAAGTGATATTGACAACTTTTGTTTGAGTCAATATGAGTTTTCTTTAAAAGATATCAACCACATAATCACGATTATAGCGGAGCTCTGGCGCACTGAGCGGAGCACCTTGGGTAAGAAAATTTGGTAAACTATCCATCAGAGAAAATTTGGTCATGGCGTCACCGTACACCTGCGCGTACGTACGTTCTTTGGGGGCGGGGGAAGAGAGTTTTGAATCAGCCCGAATCGGGTAGGACCCTCCGTCCGCACCACAGGGAAATCATATTTTATCTCACACTTACTAGCTAGTTTGGGAACCTGCTACTCGATATTGAAAATCCATGTTGTGATCAATTGACAGCTGTCAAAACAGGGCATCCGCTGACCAGCATCACCTGACTCTGTATCGCGGGCTCAGGGGTCCACCCATTGAGGTCAAGTATTTTTGAAGTAATCCGCTGACAAGTTACTAGTTTTCAAGTGATCGCAGACTTAAGTTCAATTTTTTTTAAATTCATATGAAATTTGTTGTGTTAATATGTTGTGTTAATGTGCGCACTATAAAATTTTGATTTCAAACTGACCTCGGACGCGAAAATTCAGCTAGCTATTACAGGCAGGGAAGACAGTTGCCTTTGACTTTTCTCACCATTGTGATGCGTTAGTCACGCTCTACGTCCAATTTTTATGCTCTGATTGGTCAAAATTTGACAGGTGAGTTCATGCAGGTTTTTGGTTGAGAAATGCGTCGCTTGTCAAAGTCGGAAATCCGATTTCGGATGGCATAGTTTTCGTTTTTCACCTCGCTTGATGAGTAAGAGGGTTGAAATCTCTCAAGCGATTCTGGCCTTCTTGAATGGTAAACCTGAGTAATTATATATTTGGTGTTTGTTTTTTCTTTATCTAATTTCGTGAAGTCGAGCGTAGTTAATTATGCGGCTAATTTGCACGTTTGTAAGATTTAAGACAATGATCTGACTTAGTATCAGGTTTGATATAAGCTTACAGAACTTTAAAAAGCCTTAGCTTTAGACATTTTCCCACTGCAAATAGAAATAAACCGTTCCGAAGAATATTAAGTTATAATTTTGGCTGTAAAAAGAAAGCTTTGAGCGATTTTTTTGCCTCGAGTTCATCTTTGAAAAAAGCAAACAGCGGGAAGCCGGCTTAAAACATAAACTCAAGCTTAACCCTTGAAGGCTCAGGATTTTTAGAGCCACTTTAATACTTACAACTCTTTGTGAATGAAAATTGTTGTCTCGTTAGATGTTTCACCAAATTTCATTTTTTTTTATTGACTGTTAGTAGTCTCTCTTGCAATTTTAATCGCTGTGCCGTTTGTTTTTAGTCGTTCATGAACATCGCTTTCAGGAGTACTCAAAATGCTGCGCGTGTCAAACGCTCAGTTTAACGTACACATGGTTATAAAACCATTAAATAAAAAATAAACATAATAAGTTCTTTATTATGTTGAAACGTACCTCTATTAATGCGCAAACATTTGACAGCTCACACTGCAAATTAAACTTGGCGCTTATCAAAAGTGGAAACCGGCTGGTCGTATAGGTGATTTCGAAATAATTTTTTGAACGGCCTCGCTAAAAGCCCAAGCGTACTTTGATCGTCCTGAATATTAAATAGGTGCAATTTGTCTTGCAAAATTGTGAAATACGTTACTGCATTCTGTCCGAGGTCTGTATGGTAAAAACAGCGCCTCCTAGTATACTGTTTCACCTCAGATGTGATCTATAAAAAGTATAGAAGGCTGGTAACACGCCATCAGATTTGTTGGCAAGATTTTAGAGTAAACTGCCAAACGCAGAAAAATTGGGCCTGATTTGTTTTCCAAGAATTTGTTTTTCAGGCCTATTCCACTGTGATCAAGGCTCTTAAATGCAATCGAAGATTGTTGCTATTTTTTTGGGTGTACATATAAGGCTATTAACTCGATGTGAGATTTGTTTCACCCTTCAATTATTATTCTCTAAACTCGCTTAGCCTTTCCCTCAAACGTCACATGAAAGGTGTCCTAGAGTTAACTTATTTGTGGATTACAAGTTTTTGTTTGATTTAAGTTACAAATTTATTAGTGAGAGCTTCGCTTTTAACCCTGGCTAAATCTATATATTACTCAGTTAAAAACTGGCACTGGAATCTTTTCTGATATTGCCGACACTGTCATGACCTACTTCCGACTAAATACTTTTTGGCTACCATGCAACTTGGAGTGCTGTAGGAAAAATTAACGATACTGCTTGTTTTTCTCTTTGAAGTTTAATTTCCTTCTTTGGGCATAAGGTTGTTTCGTTGCGACTGAGTGAAGTTTCCTTCGAGTGGTTTGTTGCTTGGGATTATTTTGACATTCGTTAAAGGCTGAAAAAGTAAGTTGTGAATTGAATGCCTGGAGAAAGATCTCCTCATATACAATAGGTTGTGTATTGAACGACAACCTTTTTTCAGTGGTCATTGCATTTAACTTTTCCTTAATTCTCTCAGACACCTGTCGCCAGCTAGAGTTCGACCACACTTTTGATGGAAGGCGCTTCAAAAATCACGTTATTCGTACTGTTGACGTCGCTGGGGAAAGATCCTGCCGGACTTTGTGCTACATGGAACCAAACTGCGTCAGTTACAACTTTAACAAAGTCACAAGGAAATGTGAGCTGAATAATTCTACTTTAAAAGAAGGGAAAGAAAAGATGGAGACAAATCCAGATTATATATACTGTGAAGCTAGGGTATGAGAGCTTTTATCCCAGTATACAGTGTACGGATAGGGAAAAGTTACAATCTCAAACTCATTTTCAAATAATATCTGGTTAAGGGAAATAAGCTTACAGTCAGGGTACCCATTAAGGGAGTATTAAGCAAGCAAGGATTTATGCCTTTACAAAATTAATGAAATTCATACATACACGTACATTTTTTTTAAACAACGGTACACTTTTTTATCAAAGCGAAATACACAGTGTCATCTTCTGACAGAGTCTGTAGAGAGTGAAATTAACCCCTAAGATTAGGGAGCTTTTCAAAGGTCAGAACAGGCCGGCCGCCCCGGTCATATTGAAAATGAAATATTCGTTTCTCGAAATTTTTACTAAAACTCATCATAGCCGTGCAAACCATTTAGAAATAAACTGATCGGGCTGGATAGTCCTGATTAGTAGTGGAATTCTCCTCATGAGTGGACTGGTACATTTATTACACGTACATACTGACTAAAAACATCCTCTGTTCGCATATAGCTTGGCTATATATTTGCGGCAGTCAGAGGATAACATTATAAAGTAATTCACTACGAAGGAATTACTCAAGTAGATTAAGGCCTGGGTCATAACAGAGTTTTCAGAATTTTTAAAGGGAGTAGTATAACGTAAAGTATTTTCAAGATATCCCATGACTAGCAATTTAAGGCCAATCATAACCAAGAAATCTTCCAGTTTCATCTTAAAAATTGTTTATAACTGCATCATGTGACTAGCCACGCCCTGTTTCACCAAGAAATCTTTTGAGTTGAAATTCCCATCAGAAAGAGAGTAAACCGTTTTCCTTCAGAAGGTTCAAAAAGTGGCTACTAATAGTCTTCATGTAAAAACAATCGGAAAGAGACGAGGTTAATAAACGTCTTTCTCCCGTCGATGTCGAAGTCAGAGAACACTAATTGCACCCGCCAATTGTAATGCTTCGAACCATTCCGAGCTGATTTCGTAGACACTTTGTAAAGACAATGTTCTTATACAGAGAAACTGGAGCTACTTGTTTGGCAACTTGTGGGAATCGATGGTTACAATTTTCGAACAATTGAGGACGTGGTCGATCACGTGACCAAATAATTGAAATTTATTTTTTCAAGTTTTCTTAAGTTTAGTTTACTTTACGATATATCGTCCAACGTGAATGTCTTTAACCATAGTTTTTGGAAACTGTACATTAAAATTATAAATGACTTAGACCCAGGCCTTAATCTACCTGAGTAAGAAAAGGAGCATTAAGGAATGCCTTTTTTCTTGTCTGTTACCAGAATGCCTGTGGGAATAAACCTTGCAAGAACAAAGCAACCTGTCAAATTGGTTTTACCGGAAAAGGATACCGGTGTTTGTGTACTGTTGGATTTGAAGGGGAGCATTGCAAGAACGGTAATTTAATCCGGCATGTTTTCCTGCTAGAATTTGCTGCCGCACCAAATGATCTTTTCCCTTGAGATAACAACAAATTTATTGCACATGGAAAAGTTTATAAGTAATAAATTAAAGTAAACTGAAAAGGAAGAGGGAAAAAAATTCACACAACCCGCAGTTAGCTTAAGTTAATCAAGGCGGGAGGCGAAGTGGACAAGAAACAAAAATAAGAAAAAAAAAATTATATATATAAATGAAAGACATAATATATTCGCTGTTTCAACCGATTTTTGCCACATATCCCGGCGTTTACGAGTTTCATTCAGTTTTACTCGTTCTTATAGCGTGGTTACTTTGAATGAAAGTAAAAATAAAATAAAATACTTACAGTGCGTCCACACGAACCGAGACCACCCAAACAAAATTGAAATTAGCCAATCACAAGTCGAGATCTAAACAATGAAATTGCGCATAATTGTACCATTTTTCTAAAGGATGTAAAAAAGAGGAATAGAGAGTACGATGTTTTGACATCGTCTGGGTTGGCCAGAATCAAAGCCAGCAGTAAAGAAATTTTGAACAATCCGAAGTTAAGGCGACAGCCACTCATTTCATGGCAAACGGCGCTCAGCACTGAGTAAATCGCAGCCCTGGGGCCCGTTTCTCGAAAGTTCCTATAATCAACGGGGCCGGTAAGCTGTTACCGTTTACATTAAGATCGAGGTTTTAATAGTTTTGCATCGAACATGATAAAACTATCAGTTAATGCATGAAACAAAATGGAGTTGTTTGCTAGCCAGGATCCACGCTTTTATTCTTTATATTTCGATTTCAGTATTTCATCTCAAGCCCGAAAAGTTACCAGGACTTTCGAGAAACGGCCCCCTGGTTATTAAAAAGATATGGGCTAGGTTAATGCATATTACAATACGCAACAAAACTGAGAATGACTATAGACCTCTCAAGAATAGCGAAGGAAATCGCCATGGTTAGTGGAATTTTTGTCGAGGGAAGGAGGCAGACGTTGTTTTATTCTTGGAAGTGACAAAAATACGAAAGATCTGAAAAAATCTTCGAAGCAAACTAGTCGATGATTGCCCCAAACTATAGTAAGCAACGAAGAAACAAACAAAACGTATCAAAATCCACCAATCACAAATCATGACCTTTTGAACCCGTTCAAGTGAACATATGTTTCCTAAGAGGTCCGCTAGATGATTGACAGAACGAACACAAATTCCTGCGAATAATAAAAACGATGTTTGGTGAGCGGCCAACCCAGGCGTTGTCAAAACATGTTTCAGCATGATTTACACAAACATCATGATTCTTTATTTATATCCATTAGAAAACTGGTTCGCAACGTATTTTGAACTGGCTCTGAGTACAAAATTATGCGCAATTTCATTGTCTTGATTTCGAAAACACTTGTGATTGGCTAATTTCAAAATTTGACTCATTTTTCATGTCTGGTTGGCCTCAGTTCGTGTGGTCGCACTGTAATAAATATGATTTTAGTGACCTTTAACGGCCGGGCTCTTCGCCTACCACATTCCAGATCGACTTGGAATTTAAAAATGTTTGTATTTCGGTAAGGAGAGAGGAAAGGACTGACCTGACCGAAGGGAGTAAACGGAGAAAACCTCTCGGGTAAGGGCGAGAAATAACAACAAACTCAGACACATATGGGATTGCTTATGAAAGAAGCTACAGCTGCACCTATTTATTTTAAGTAGGCTCCTATCTTAGACACCTGAAAGTGAAAAAGTACCACTGTCTCCCTTGGCCTCCTTTTAACAAGACCGGGCGGCTCTTTAAATATGTCTTATGATACAAACACTTCTGTTAGTTTTTAAGTAGCTAGTGAGGTTGGCCTTTGAAGCTTTATTATGAAGTCGATATGAAGACAAAATCTTTGTCCAGTAAAACTGACTTGACGGGTTAAAGCATTGATTGGTGTATTCACTTTGATTCCGGAAAAAAAAGTTAACTTTGAACAGGATCAGCTCTGGGAAAAAGAGGCAAAAAGCGCAAGCAGATCGGGGCGGAAGAAAAGAGGCAAGAAGGGAGGGGGCGCGTCCTTTATCAAGAGGGTTCTGTGGGTCCAATTTTCTTGTGGGTACGTTTATAAGTCCAATGGGATGTTGCCATTTTCAACCTGAGTCCTCTGCCTTCGTATTTGTCTACATCAAAAGATTTCAGCCAACCATTCAGTTCTCGTGAGTAATTCTTTTGATAAATATAACCATGGATTGACCATAAACTGTTTTATAGACATTGACGAATGTGCAAAAAATACCCACGAGTGCGGTGCCAATGCTTACTGCAGTAATACCAAGGGAGGATACAACTGCACTTGTCATCCGGGTTATTATGGAGATGGAAAGAATTGTGAACCAGGTAAGTTGGCAGATAGAGAAGTTTCGAGAGAGTGACGAGAGTGATGACGCGGAGAGTGGTGACGAGAGTGTCATGCTCCTTCAAAAATGTTGTTTTGTTCATAAAAGAATTTGTCTTTTCGACGTTCTCGAGCCCTGGTTGCATGCTTAAGACCTATTTTCCTTCTTAGTAAACGGAACTCCGTTTTGAATAGTATAGGAAAAAACTGAAACTGGCGTTACGTTGTGGTCGGAGCAATTTGGCCAGCATAAGATCGGCTAAATTACTCGGGCGCAAAGCTTTTTCAAATTAAGGAGTAAACATTTTACGAATTCAAAAAAGAAAATATTTTTGCTTTAAGTAGTTATTTAAAACATCCTTGCCCATGTTTCTTCTTACTGGTGAATGTAATCCCTACAAAATAAAACAGCTAAGACGTTTTACCGCGGTGACTATAACTCGCACGTTAGCAACTCTATTCATACCTCACTTTCTCTTATTTTGTTACACAGTTTCATCATGCAAAGACCTTTTTAACAAGACGATGTGAGTAAAAACAACTACCGTAAAATTCTGAAAATAAGCCCCTCCAAATACAAGGCCCCTTAACCGGTAACGAAAAAAACCCTCCGTTAAATCGCCCCTTTAAATATAAGCCCCCTTGGGGGCTTGTATTTGAAAAATTGCCCTCAAATACAAAGTAAAGAAAAGCAAAAACGGTAAATTTACTTCCAACCATAAGGCTAGCTCAATCGATTTTGAAACGCAAATTTTACGGTACTTTAATTTTTCGGACCATCAAAATCTCTAAATTTGTCGGCTGTCAATTGAGAATGAGGCTTTGTTGGGGGGGAGAATAAAACAAAAGAAAACACCTTAAGGTTCTGGAATGAATAGTGCAGTCCTTTTGCTAAATTATTCCCCGAAGCCTGGGAGACAAGTATGGGTTTTAATATCCTATTGGCAGTTGTCAAAATGGGGCATCTCCAGGTGACCTGCCTGTATCACAGGTTAGTCTCATACACAGCCGTTCTCTTTGGCGAAGGGCACAAGGAGGCTGGTCTCCAGGTGGCCTAGTAACTAGGCTTTTATAGATTTTGCTAGGATGATTTTTAGGATAATTTGAGAAAAATAGCATAACTTTCCCATTTTTTAAAACGTAGCACTGCTATAGCATAATTCGCATATTTTGATAATTATCGGAACATTTTTGGGTTTTGACAGGCACGTTGATTTTCAAATCCCAGTT